ATAAAATTATAAAAGTGACAAAAATGGATACAGCATAACCTGGGCTTTCCAACAATATCACACACACTGTATCAGTTAAATAAATACAAGAAAACATTCATGACACCCCATGAGCCTCACCAGACCATAGTGCAGCTCATGACAGTTCATTTAAGCTTTTAAGGTTTCCAGGAGAGAATCTGGCTGAATAAATTAATTCTGGATAAGAATTTTGATTTTAATTCTTACCCATCAAGCATTGGCCAGACAACTTGATAACTTGATAGTAACACAGATCCAGAATGCATTAATTTCCCCATTTAACAAGTGGAAGAAAAGCTCCTTGTCTTGAATTTGAGCACAGGCAGGCAGGTTGGGTCTGGGCTTGGAGCTGCCACTGCTGCAAACACTGCTATGTAGCTGGGCCTGTGCTTCATGCCCCAGGATGGAGCGGTGGTGGGGCAAGCAGCAAGTGACAGGAGGGCAGGTGCTAGTGGGGGCAGGCAGCAGGGGTTAAGCCACTTGACCCCTTCTGCTACCTGCTCCTCCAAGTTGTGTGCTACTGTGCAATGGTGGTAGCAACAAATTTAGATGATCCTCTGATAATTAGATTCTAGACATGGGAAGTTATAATACATCTGTAAATTTTCCATGTCTAGAATCTAATTATTAGGGGGTTGTCTTAAATGCAGTCATCTTAGATTCAGGTAAATATAGTATGTGGAAACATTTGCTAATACATGACATACTTCAAGTATTTTAATTTACTAATCTGTACATAGAAAGTTGTGATTTTTTTCTTCATTGACTTGCTCCTTGTTTCACTTGTTTTTTTCTTTATTTCCTTATCTCTTATAGATGATAGGAAATAAGCTACTTGATTGCAGTCATAAAATAGTAATTATGCTCAATTATAACTTTGGCCTTTTATTAAACTGTACATTGAGGTCTCCCTGAGATTGGTGCATCAAAATCTTTCTTGCTTATCCTTGGTGTTCACCAGTAATGTCAATCATAATAAAAATAATTATGATTATAATAAATAATTAAGCATTATAATGCAGCAGTAAGAATTTCTAGAACTGTTACAATCTCCAACTTCTTATGACTGACAGCATGGTTGTAAATTTTTTGTTGTCCTTATCCAATTACTCCTTTTCCCTTTTTTTAAAAAGTCCAGAAGGACAGGCATTTATATATATAATACTGTTTCTTTAAGGTGCATCTGTTTCTGTTGTTTAACATCTGATGTTAGACCAATTTGTGTGACATCAACTGGTTGCCCTTGCAGTGACTGTTACATACAGAAGATTATACTGTAGGGTCAGGAACAAACAACAAAAGTTAGCGAATTATAGTGCATCGCTGCAACCCAGCATAGGTGTTTCAAAGTAGCAGCACCTTTCTCATTTGCACCCATTTCTTCAAGATTAACTTGTTTCTTTCTGTTTTTCTGGGATGTATGAATGGCCAACTGAAAGGTTTTTTACAAAAATCAGCAAAACAGGCTTCAGAAATGAGAGAGTTTTTAGTAAATTTTGTTCTGTCAGTAAGAGGTATTGTGTCTTTACAGACTTCGTGTAGCCACTCAAGATGCCGAACAATTGAAAACAGCAAAAACAGCCCTAGAGAAGCAGGTTAGAGAGCTACAGGCAAAATGTTCACATCTCGAAGAAGAGAAATATGATGCTGTCGTAAAAGTCCGAGATAGCATGCAACTCTTAGAGGAAGCTAATCTACAAAAAAATCAGGTAAGATAGGGGATCCAGAACTTTCTTGATTATTAGACTACTTACTACTTTATGCTGTTAGGTGCCAGATTATAATACTAAAACAGCTAAGTTGGGACTCATTTACAATTCAGTTTCTCCTGATCCTGTTACAACATCATTAAAATTTGTAGTATGGATATGACCCAGCATAAAATCACCAGAGTTTTGTTAAACTATAGAGATGCACCAGTGCATCAGTCCATATCGTATCAGCACCAATGAAAGGAAAATCGACATTATTGGCAACGTCTTTTTTAGCTGATGTTGGCAATAATGTTGCCAGTAAATGTGTTCATGTACACAGCCGCAGCATGTACACTGCCAAGGGTGCAGCCCGACAGCATGGAGCACAGCGTCTGGCTGGTAAGTCTGTGGGAGAGAAGGGGCATGGGGGAGGTAAGGGGCATGAGGGGTGCAGATCAAGGGCCCCACAGTGAGGGAGAGAGGGGCTGGGGCAAGGGCAGGTGCTGCACAGCCGGGTTGGGGTGGGGCATGGGACAGAGCTGCAGGTATCTTGTCTAGAGGTG